CTGTGGAGCCCGTTCTCCTCCGCCCCGCCGTCGCCGATGCGTCGGCGGTGCCTCGGCGGTGCGGCGCGGCCCTCTGGCCCCATGTGCTCTGGCCCCGCTTGGGGGGCCTCTGGCTTGCCAGGGAATGCACGATCTCGGGGTTCAAGAGACGGGCCGAACGGAAGGGGGGGGCAGGGAAAGGGGGGGTTATGAGGTCTGCTGCATGCAGCTGGTTTCGGCCCCGCCGCCAGGCCCATTCCTCGATACCTGGGAGCTGGGAGGCGCTGGGAAAATCAGCTACGTGAGCTGATTCTCTACTCTACCCTTTGCTATTTCCCCCTTTCGTTCCCCCGAAAGAGACGGGGGTCAACACAAACAGGCGTCAGTCGGTGCGCCGCATTTAGCAGGGTCTTGCAGAGCAAGGATTGCATTGACCCGTGATCGGGCGCAGGATCCTGCAGGATCTTGCAGGATCTTGCAAGGCCCGACTGCCCCGGGCCTGGATTGACCCGGGTCAGTAGATCCCCTAGGATCGGGAGGATCTCGCAAAGGCTGCCTTATCCGCGCAATAATGAGGGAGAGAGAGAGAGAGAGAGAGAGAGAAAAACAAAAAAAAATGTTGCCAGTTTGAAACGTATTCCTATCCCTGTGTTTGGCATCACCTCACCTCGATGCCGATTTCAAGGACCCCCTCAGTTTCTGAGGGCACGTCCCTCAGATTGTCCTCGCGTGTTGCTCGCCCATCTTAGGGGTAGGGATAAGCTCGAGGCTGGTTGGAGATAGGAGGAGTCGGCTTGCAGGGGGGGCGGGCGCGGGGGGGGCGCCAACGATCGCGCCGATTCCATCGCGGCCCGCTGCCCCTTCCCGGGACTCTCAGGAATCCTCCGGGCCCAGTCGGCCTCGCAGTCGGCGCCGGCGTCGCGTCGCCCGCGAGCGCCAGCCGGCGGGCGGGCCGACCTTGTTGCGCATGTTCGGCGCGAGAGACCCGCGCGGGCCTCGCGCTGTGCCCGCGCCCCAGGGCGACGGCCCAGGCCCTTGTAGCCTCCCGCGCTGCCGCGATGGCCTCGCGCGCGGCGCAGGAGCGGGCGCCGCCGACCGTTCGGTTCGGTTCCGCGCACTTCTCATGCGAGAACGCAAAGCCCCCATGCTGCGCGCGCATTGCGCGCTGAGCAATGCGATGCAGTTGCGACGGCCGCGCGTTCAATTGGAAACCGCAACGCAAGTTTCCATTCCCGCGCGCGGGGCGGGGCATGAACTTACAGATGCGCCGACGGTCGAGAACTCGCGCGCGCGCCCGCGCCTGCCATGTTGGGCGTGCGCACTGGGCCCGGAAATCCGTGGCTCGGCCGCCCGATGCGCCCCAAGAATCGCTCCGCCTCCCCCCCCGCCCCCCTCCCCCTCAAAACTCTTCCGCGCTCCTGGAAAAACCATGCCGCCGAGGCGGGAGCTCGGGCCGCGGCCTGATGGTCCCCGGGGCACAGGGGAATCAAAGGAATCAGTACGGAATCGGTACATAATCAAAACAGAATCGGCACAACTGCGACCCCTGATTCTAGCGGAATCAAAAGAATCAGCACGGAATCGGTACGGAATCAAAGGAGGAATCGGCGATAGAACAGAATCGGCCTGAACGGGGAAGTAGGCCAGAATCGGTGCCAGAACCCATGGAGAGAGGCCTTTTTCCCGGGAGTTCATTGCGGCGGGTCCGCGGCGCGGGCGCGCCGCGCGACTTCGCTGGTTCAGCGAGGCGCGCAGTCGGCGTTCAGAGTGAACAGGTTGTTTTCAGGGCGATATCCTGGCGGCGCGCTGGCGCATTGCGCATTTGCGTATTCCTGGCGGGCTGTTTGAGGGCGACCCGGCAGCGTCGGCCGAATGGCCCGCAAATACCGCGCGGCCGATCGCGCGCCCCATGCGGTCACGTCGACCGCCGTGTGCCGCGACGGCCGCGCGCCCCGGACCGCGCCATTGCCGCGTTGGATTGGACGGCGCAGCGCCCGTCCTCCAAAAGTCATTACATGCATATCGCGCGTGTCGAGCCAGCAGCAATCGCTCCCAGAAGCAGCCTTGACAGGCGCCCCATGCCCGTTGTCGCCCGGTTCCGATCCAAATCATAGTTTCTTTGGATGCGCTTGCACGAATGTGAGCGCGCGGGCAAGTAGCGCGTGCGCGCGCTTGGCGCAGCCTGGGAAATCCAACATGGAGCCCCCCGGGGGCGCGGGGCGCCGGCGACGCCTCCGCCCGCCTCCCGCGCGCCCGACCCCCCCCCGCAAGCCGACTCCTCCTAGTTGGAGAGAGAGAGAGAGAGAGAGAGAGAGAAAGAGAGAGAGAGAGAGAGAGAGAAAGACACATGGAGAAACAAACCACAAAGAACACACATAGAGAGAGAGAGAGAGAGAGAGACATAAAGAAGCGCACACGCCGTTGCGGCGCAAGCTTGCCGCGTAATTGCAGTCGAGGCGTGGAGACGAGAAGCAGCTCGGGTGCGGGAAGGGGGGGCTCGCTTCTCCTCGCGCGCCCGGGCGAGTGTGGTGCCAACGAGGAAGCTTAGGGGTTTCGTATGTTTCGTCCGTTGCGTTCCTGACGGTGGGGCCTGAAATCGGGCGTGTCCCTCTACCGGAGGAGTATTCCGAACTAGTCAGAACATAGTCTGGGGACGACTTGTTTGAATATCTGTTGACCAGTTTTGATAATTGCTTGAATATTTCTGATTTGTCGTCCAAGATCCGCCTGTATAGGGGTCGTGCCCGACCTGATGACAGCCCTTTCGCTGCACCACCACCTCTGCCCTCCCGCCTCTCATGGGCCCCTCTGTGGCCCTCCCCTCGTCGCCGAGGCTGGAGCCGCCCAGGAGCGCTGGCGAGACCGCTCCCCAGGAGCCTGGCATCGCTCGGACGTGTGTATTTGTTCTCGGCGAGGACCCTTGAGGAACATCCTGGATCATCGAGCGAAAAAAACACGCAGGAAACCGAAGCATGCACGGGAAATGGACGTCCGAGCGACGGCCACGGAGAGGTCTGGCGAGCAGCGGCGTCTGCACATCCTCGCCCCCCCGCCCGGCCCCGACGCCAGATCTCCGAGGCTCGAGGGCCGAGCAGGGGGTTCTGAGGAGCGAGCGCCCCGGACGCGTCTGGCCCGTTCTGAAGGGCTTCGTTGCAGGCTGCCGGGGCCCCCAGGGCATGGGACCGGGGAGCGTTGGGGTGTGCTTTGTCTCCCTCCTCCCCGCCGCCCCAGGGCTGGACCCAAACGGTGTTTTGGCGATTGCGTGGGCCGTTTTCGTTTCGAATTCGTTTTGCGGTAAAGGCGAATCGAAGACAAAACGAGGGAACACGAAAACAAAACGAAAACGAAAAGCACCGTTTAGGTTCAGCCCTGCGCCACCCCCTTGTGTCGGAACCCCGCGACCCTGCAACACGCATAAACCGCTCGACCCACACAACCCGCGCAAACCCCTCGCAACCCGCATGTTACCAGCCTGGAACAGATCCCCGTGGTTGGCATCGCCTCGTCTCGGTGCCGATTTTAAGGACTCCTTCAGTTTTCGAGGGCGCATCCCTGAGACTGTCGTCGCATATTGGCGTGTCGATCTTAAGAGTAGGGATGAGCTCAAGGCTGGTTAGCAGAACCCCATTGAAAACCCCAGGGGCTTGCGGGGGTGAGGGGGCCTTCCGCGGCTTGCGCGGCGCGTGCGGTTGGAGGTACTTGCGCGCGGTGGTGTTGCGCGATGGGCGCGGAGTGTGGGGGCTGTGCGGGTTCTCCGTCCTGTGTGGATTGCGAGGAGGTTAATTGATTTAGTCTCATGTTCCCGTGGATACGACAACAAAACAATTCTGGGGGTGAATCCATTCTATAGACGGTCTCCTCCTCGAAGGTTATGCGGCTCGTTTGGGCTGTGCGGGTACTGGGGGGTCTGCGGGTTGTTGGGCGTGGAATTCTTGAGCGGGTTGAGTTGGTTATGCGGTTTGTGTTGGTCATGCGGGATAAGCGGATCGTGGGAGTTCAGTTGGTTGTGCGAGTTGTGCAGATTCTGCAGGTTGTTGAGTTTGTGCGATTCGCGGCGGTTGTGCGAGTCTGTGGGTTCTGAGGATTGCGGGGTTTTGTCGGGGCGTTGGGAGTTGTGCGGGTGGTGTTGGTTGCAAGGGTTGTGCGGGTTGCGCGGGTTGTGTGAGGTTGTGCGGGCTGCGCAGATTGCGCGGATTTCTCCAGAGATCACCAGAGGCATCCGGAGGCCAACCAAAAGTACCCGGAACGTTTAAACGAACATGTCAATCCCCATCTGACATGTATCGGCAGGCAGAGACGTTCGTAGCTTGCTCATTAGACGGAGGCGAGTGGTAGGGCAAGAGGCGTCGGGAAGAGGTGACGCACACGCATCACGGAGGAGAGGGCATGCCAGTACACGCAGCCCCGAGGCCCCCTCTCGAACAGCCCGCCCCACCCATGCCCTACTACTGCTGACTCCCCCGATCTGGTTTTCGGGGAGGTCTTGGTTGGGGAACACGTTGCTGGCCGAGGCTCGCCGTGGCCTGAAAACCCCTTCGTTTTTCAGGGAGCGTTCCTTGCGGTGGCACGATGACTGCGCGGCATTGCGCGTCGCTTCGACACGGCGGCGATGCCAGCGCTGGCGTGTGCTCCAGGGGCGCGTTTCGGATTCGGGCGGACCTTGGGAAACAGCCCTCGCCGCAGAATCCATTCGAGGGATTGGATTATTGAGGGTGCGAGGGTAGAGCAGGGAGGAGAGGAGGGAAGCTCCGTGATATGTGCGAGCTTGACACAGGGGAGCAACCTCCCTCGCGGCCAGCGTCAGCTTCAGACAACACGCAAGTGAACCCTGAGAGCGGGACCTCCCTCGACGGCCCCTCTGCCAGGCTCTCGGCGGCACCCTTCCGCTGCCCCCCGAGAGTCCCAGGACCCATGCACCGAAGCAGCCCCATTCCCAGCGGCCTCGGGCGTGCTGTGGCGATGTTTGTAGTCCGGTACGGCTTGCCCGCAGACGCGCGCCGAGGGTCTGTGCCCCCCGGCAGGAGCACGCAGGTCTTCACGGAGGAGTCTTTGGCCAAGGCTCTGAAATATTTCAACCAGATGCTGGTGGACGTTCGGATTTCAGCATGCCTCGATCTGGGGCGGGGCCCGAAGCAGTTCCAAAAGCATCATATTCTTACATAGTGATCTGGGATCAGACAGACAAAAAGTGGAATGGCCCGGCTGAGAGGCGTTCCTAACATCACAATGGGTAGCATATAAGAAGGTGGGTTGGTACATTGCCATTTAGACGCTCAGCCATCGATCGCCCTCCGCGCGGCCTGAAGTATTCCTAGTGCATACCCTGCCCCATTTCGTCATTGCGTCGTTCGCTCATTGCCTCCTTCGCTGAAGTTTAGTTTTGGATCCTTATTCTCCTCTCTATCATCTCGGGAACGCTTACTCCCCTGATCAGGACGTGAAGAGAAATGAAGATGGATGAGGAAGGGGGAACAAGGGGGAGGAAGTCTGACAGAGCTGGGCCAGACCCCCCAAGCTACCCTTACTGCTGTATCCCAACAGCACGGGGGCCAGCGGAGGGACTCGTGTTCATCAGCACAACGGTTCAGCACGTTGTTTAATCATTGTGGTCAAAGTCCGAGTTGCGAGCGCCTTCGATTCACGAGCATGGGGGCCATCAGGCAATGATTTCCAACAACGCCGAGCGGTTGACGCATCAGGGGTCGCCTGATATAATAAATTAGCTCGCCAGACCTGGCAGTTCTTGAAGTGTGGCAGGCCCACACGGGTGATGGCAGCCGGTTTTTCTATTCTCCGGTGCTTCGATGCGCTCATCTCTTCTCCCTCCAGGCAGGGGCGCGGCTCTCGGCCACAGTGCGGGCAGTACTTTTATCCATAACCAGTGCGTCTTGGACTTTCTTGGAAGGGGCGCCGCAAGGCCGAGGCGCACCGGATATGGATAAAAATCGAGACCCTCGGAGCCATGTTTGAATATCCAAATCCAGTGCGCCTCGTGCTTCTGGGGATGAGAAGAGGGCCCGAAGCTCCAAGGCGCACTGGATGTGGATGTAGACACTGCCCGCACACAGTGCCCCACGTAGTCCAACGAGGGGTCCTGGCCCCCACCCCCTCCCCCCTCCTCCTACCCTCCTCCTCCTCCTCCTTCTCCTCCTCTTCCTCCTCCTTCTCCTCCTCCTCATCCTCCTCCTCGGCAGGGGCGAGCCCTTCGTCGGAAATGTGAGCATATACATTACCAGTGACGGGCGGTTTTTCGATCCCAGGCCTTTTGTGAGGGTCGGGGACGACGTCGGGGTGGTGTGGTGTATGCTGTTTCCCCGTTTTCCCGGGGTAACGACGAAGAATGTATACACCAGGATCCCGTACACACCAGGGTCCGCCTTCTTGTGCGAGATTCAACGTGAGGCCAGACAAAGGCGTCGGTGTATATAGAATTCGGCTCCTCACTTCGCTTACGTCGGCCCTGGCTCTCTGCAGGAGGGATACTCAAAAGCAGTCAACAAATAGTCTGGGGACGATTATTTGAGTATTGTTTTGGCCGTTTTGTGGTATTCTTTGGCTATGTTTGGTTTTCCGTCCAACACCCCCCTGTAGGAGGAAATGCCCGACCTAACCCTTCGCTCCGGTCCGCTTCTGCCGGGGCTCAGTGCCCACAGGTACCCATCGGTCGTTGAAAGTATGTGTTTCTGGATTCCCAGAGCCCAATCTACTTTAGGCTCTTTCTTCAAGGATCGACTGATTTCCTGCTTTCCTCCTCTTCAGGGGGCGGGCGGAAGCCCAATCTACTTCCAACGCCTTCCTGCTTCATGTTTCCACCTGCTTCTTCCGACCGATGGGTAGTCATGAACCGTTGCTCAGTCCTGGTGCGCCAGGCTCCTCAAGGTCCTCCAGGTTCCACAGGGCAGATCGTCCTCGGGAGTCAGCCGAGGTTCCTGTTGACGCGTCGACGGGGCCATGAGGGCGGCAGCATCTGGTGGCCACCGTTGCAGAGGTTCCTCGTGGCGGTCCCGGCATCGCTCGGACGTGTGCATTTTTTTCTCGGCGAGGACCGTCGAGGAGCACCCCCGGACCATCGAGCAAGCAAACACACGCACGAAACCGCAAAACGCACAGGGCATGGACGTCCGAGCGACGGCAGGGGGGCCCGGGAGGGGCGCTGGTGGTCTCGGCTGGGAGGGGGGGGGGGGGGGGGCACGCCGAGGCCTGGGGAGACCTCGACCAGGCGTCCGTCTCCTGCAAGGCGAGGCAGCCGCCCGCCCCCCTTGCTTGCTTGCCGATGGCAGCTCCTGGTGGCGATTCCATGCACGAGTTGCGTCGGGCGTGTCCCTCTACAGGGGGGAAATTCAAAAATCGTCAAAAATTAGTATGGGGGCGATTTTTGTTGTAGTATTGTTTGACCATGTGGGAGTACTGTTTGAGTATCTTTTCTTAATTTTTCGGCGAAAATCCCCCTGTAGGGGGACATGTCCGACTTAATCCTGGTTTGTTGATGGCAGCTCCTGGTCTCGATTCTCTGCAAGAGCAGGCAGCCGGTGCAGGGTCGCTTGCGGTGTTTCGGAGCACCATGCGCCTTGGCGGGGTATCGTCTGAGTCGTAGCGTTGTAGCGTGACGTCGGGAGCTGGGCCAGATCGGTGCTGCAGCGATGGTGGCGCGCGACGGCTATTCGCGGCCGTCTCGGGCGATGTATTGGTGGAGAGAGGGCGGAGGATGCAGAGAGCGAAGAAGGCAGAATGAGATGAGAGGGTGGTGCGATACAGTGTGAGCGGCATGGGTGTGGTTCTTGTTTTGGATGCGGTGCGGGAACACAGCTGTTTCAGGCAGCGATTGTGGACACGGGGGCGGTGAGCAATCTGTGTAGTTTTTCACCGAACGTGTCCATGAATCGGGCCTCTGAAGAGCCGTTCTCAGTTGCCACAGTTGTCCCTGACCCTCCTTATTCTCATCCTCCTCCGCTTCCCCCTGCTTCTCTCTTGGATTTTCCTCAGACGTTGTTCTCTTTTGCAGGATAACGGTCGCAGCATGCATCCATCCTTTACAGAGAGTTACCCAGCCATTCTCGCTCGCACACGTCTAGCGTCTTCTCATCCCTGTTTTCTAACTAACAGGAGTTCGTGGAGAGCAACCGTGAAACGTTCACGCAGGTGCAGAGCGATTTGGATCACTTAGCTTCAGAACTCAGCGACCAGGACAGAAAGGGTGGGTGGCAAGAACGAGGGCGGAGGGTCTTGAACGGAAGCAATGCCAGCATCCGAAGCTCCACGGGTTGTCGATGTAATGTTGAAACCGATTCTCACCTTGGATCAATTTCGTTGGGCGGGTTGTTTGTGTTTCACATTTGACGCGATGTGTGCTCAAGGCCATACGGGGCTTGACGCACGCCGGCAGCTCTGCAAGCGCGGTGGTTTCATTATGGTCCAGCGTCCAACATGTTGTTACAGTTGTATTGCGACAGCTGCTTGCTGCCTTGATCGTCGGCACGCACGGACATTGCGCACCGCTCGACAACGTTAGATGTCACTTGGCTCGCGTGTTTGCACGTACGAGCGTTGCGGATATACGGACAGGATTTTGACATCACCTTTGGTTTTTACCCAGTGCGATGAAGTACCTTCGTCTCGCCAATGGACAGCTTGGGGGCCTGGCACATGGCCAGCACTCCCTTGGAACCAGGAGCGCATCAAGGTCTCGGCCACGGGCTCGATGCAGGAGCTGTCGGCGAAGATCAAGGATCCCGCGACGCCGACAGGATGGCTCGTGTCGGCTTGGCTCGGTGTGCTTCTACTTGTGGAGGTTGGGGCGACTGTTGTGGAGAAGAGGGGGAAATGGGGATTGAAGGGGATGGGGAGGGGAAGGGGGGGATGGATCAATCCGAAGTGTCCGGCGGCTTCGGCGCGAGCAGGTGTGGCTTTCGGTGAGACCGTTGCAGATTTTTCTTGCATGTTTGTTGTTTTTTTATGTTGCAGCCTCCAAGCGGCGAATTTGCCCGACCATTGTGGATACGTTTTGGGACCGATGTTTTGGGTCCTCTGGTCGGGCCGTCCGCATGTGACCCGTAGATCATTCCCCCAACAGTGTTTGCTCTTAGGGATTCTTATTTTTGGTCTAAGGAACATCGCCCGGCTGGCGGTCTGGCGGCTCCGTGCTCGCCGTCGCCGTCTCGTTGCCGCTCGTCGTCTGGGCTTGGGTGGCGCTCTGGCGGCTTCGTGCTCGCCGTCGCCGCCCTGTCGCCGCCTTGTCGCCGCCCGTCGTCATGGCCTGGGTCGCTGCCTGGCGGTTCCGTGGTCGCCGTCGCCGCCCCGTCGCCGCCCGTCGCCGCCTAGATTTTCCATCCCCAAAGGAGAATCGGATCCACCACCCTCCCGAGGCCGGGGTTAACGATTCGGCTTTTATTATTGTCGTTTACACATGATTCTGTCCATCGTCCATCTTAAAGATGAGTCCCATGCACGCCAGTATCGACCACCCCCGTCATCCCTTGCAAAAAATATAATGCACGCGCACGCGCGCGTCGACGCGCGCGCATGCCGCAATCCGTCAAAAACCGTTTGGTCCCGTATGGACTTCAAAACCGATTGCTCAATAAACATTGAAGAACACATCGATTCGCAACACTGACTTTCAAAACAAAATTTGCGCGCCCAGCCTTGCGATTTTTATCATATAAAACTTGGACGTTCCAGCATTTGCATACCATTTTGCTAGATAGGGTCTGTGCGCACGAATGTCGAACTCGTTCGAACGCCCTGCGTGCCTTGGCGAGAAGCAATTTGCAAAACATGGGACGATGTGCGCGCTCGTTCCTCGTCGCGCGCTTGCCAGAATCCGTTAAGAAAACTCGCAGGTGGAGAAACTTCAAGACCGAATGCCCCCAAACCATACCAAAAAAACATGGCTTCGCAACACCAGTGTTCAAACAAGCGTGCGGTCGCGCTCTTGCGCATTCTTGAGGAAACCATCGGCTCCTCAACATTCGCATGCGATTCTGCCGAGCGGGCCTCCTGGCGCCGCATGCCGAAACCATCCGGACGCCCCGGCGAACGCGCTTGGGGGGGCACCATCCACATCAAATAATACATATACCACCACCCTTCGGGTGATACGGAGATTCGGGGGGGGGAACCAACGTCTCACTCGATCGGTCGCACGATCGATCTCATGATTGATCTCACTATCGGTCTCGCTCGATCGATTTCATTCGATCGATCGATCTCATTTGATCGATCCCACAATCGATTTCACAATCGATCTATTTTATTCGATCGATGTCACAATCGATCTGGCTATCGATCTCACAGTCGATTTCACTATCGATATCACCATCGATCTCACATTCTGTCTCTCGATCTCACTATCGATATCACAATCCATAGCACAACCAGCGTCATCATCATCATCATCATCAACACCATCGTCATCAACGTCATCATCATATTCACCCTCATCGGGGCACCATCTTCATTACCCACTCATCAGCATCACATTCATCATCATCGGGACACCATCTTCGTCACCATCATCAGCATCAACATCATCATCGGGACGCCATCATCATCATCAGCATCGGAACACCATCATCATCATATCAGCATCATCATCATGAACAACACCTTCAACATCGTCATAATCGGGACACCATCATTATCATCAACATCATCATCATCGACGTCATCACCATCGGGACACCATCACCGCCACCATCAGCATCACCATCATCATCATCGGGACACCATCATCATCAACATCAGCATCATCATTGGGCCACCATCATCCATATCATCAGCACCATCACCATAATCATTTCATCATCATCCTCACCATCAACATCCTCATCACCATCATCGGGCCACCATCATAGTCATCATCATCAACACCATAAACATCATCGTCACCGGCTTACCATTATCATTGCCACCCTCATCATCTTCAATATCATCGACATCATCATCATCATCATCATCATCATCATCATCATCATCGGGACACCGACGGGACACCGGCGGGACGCCGGCGGGGCACCGCGCCCCATCGGCCCCAGGAAAGGACACATTTGGTCCGGCCGCGCCTCAGCCGAAGGCGGGACACCGGCGGAACACCGCGCCCCACCGGCCCCCGGAAAAGGAAACATGTGGTCCGGCCGCGCCTCAGCCGGAGGAGACTTTCTTCTCGCCCGCCCGCGCAGCTTCGCCTCGCCCGCGCGCGCGGCACGCACGAACACGAAACCGAAACCGATTCCCCGGTAGGGGGGCTTTCCGTTCCACTTCGATCTCACCCCGTCGCCTCCGATTTTGCGGGCCATTCTCGCGCGTTGGCCGTGCTCGCGCGTCGAATTCCTTCCAGAACTTTCATCGCCGAGGCGAGGGCGCCGTCATTGTCGTCGGCGCGATCAGCATCAGCGCATCCGCGCCGTCACTCGCCGCGCCGTCGTCGCCGTCAGCGTCGTCGCCAGCGTCGCTACTATCATCGTCGCGTCTACCGCTGTCGACGTCGCCATGATGCGGCGCCCGCCCGGGTCGCCGACTCGAGCGCCCGCTGGGGCGAGCCCGAAGGGTCAGCGCCGCCGCGGCCGCGTCGGTCGCGCCGCACTAGCTGGCCGCCGCGCGCGCGCGCGGTCTGGCGCGGCCGCAGGGATGCACCAGCCAGCGCTGAGCACTCATCGCAATCGCCGCCGCATGGGCCCTGCAAACCAACTTGCGGGTGGGTGGGTGGGATGTTTGCAAGGGCGTGGAATGTGCCAACCCGCATGTGATATTCAAGTGTACAAGGGAGAGTCTCTTTTCTGACATGAAAATAGACTCTACACCCCCTGGGGATTACCGTTCCCCTATTCGCGTGGCAATTTACATGTGAGTTTGCCCCGTCGCCCGTCCTGCGTCTGAACCCATGCCGCCCCAGCCGAGCCGGCGCCGGGCCCCCCCCCCCCCCGGCACCCTCCGCAACAAATTGTGCGCGCGCACTTGTTCTTACCGAAGATCAACAGTTTTCGAGATTCCCTTGCAAGCGGCACGAAGCGCACGCGCGCGCTTTCGCGCGCGCCGAAATCGCGTAAACACGTCTCGGCGTCTAAAGGTTCCCAACTTCGAGTGCCGAACCCAAAAATATTAGAACGCAATTTCGCAACGCGGATGATGTTTGTTTATATGTATAAGTATCCGTGTAAACATATGTATATATGAAGGTCGGCGCTCGCGCTCTTGCGAAGTCTTTAGAGAGCCATCGGTCTTCATCCTTCCCAGAAAATGTTATCAAACGGGCTTCGCTCGCGCGCGTGCGCGTCGACGTCGCGCGAATGCCCTTGCGCGCTCGACGCGGCGAGAATCTCTTGCTCCTAGTGGGGCGAAGTGTCAGCGAGAGCGCCGTCGCGCGCGCCGAAATTAATTGAAAATTTTCGGGTTCGTCGCGGCTCCAGCGCCGAATGTCAGCAAACACGCAGTGACGCATGTCCTCGCCGCGCATGCTTTCATAGAAGCGCGCGCTCGAGCTCTCGCGCGTTCTGCAGAAACAAACAACGGTTTTTCAACGCCGCCGCGGATTTAAGCCAAGCAGGCCTCTGGCGCCGCGCGCCGACATCACTCGCGCGCCCTGGCGCGCGTGCTGGTCAGGGGAAGGGGGGCGCGATCCGCGCCGGATAACCGCGCGGGCCACTCTGGCGCGTCGGCCGCGCGCGCGCGTCGCAATCCTTCCAAACTTTCATCGCCGACGCGAGGGCGCCGTCATCGTCGTCGGCGCGATCGGTATCGGCGCCCGCGCTGGCCGCACCGTCGTCGTCTTCGACATCGCCACCAACACCGTTACGATTACCATCGCGTCTACCGACGTCGACGTCGCCACGGCGCCGCGGCTGCCCAGGTCGCCGACTCACGCTGCAGTGCCCGCTGGGGCGCGCCCGGCGGCCAGCGCCGCCGCGGCCGCGTCGGTCGCGCCAAACTAGCTAGCCGCTGCGCTCGCTCGAGCCGGCGCGGCCGCGGAGCTGGGCCAGCCAACGCCGAGCGCCCATCGCAATCGCCACCGCGCTTGTTTTGCAAACCAAGGCATGGGCGGGCGGGTGGGATGATTGCGCGAGCAGTGGATTCGACAATTCAGCACGAGCAAAACTGCATCGCACCACAGATTGCGCAACGCAGATTGCACAACATATCTTCTCCTTTCTTCAAACGAGTTAGTTCATGCCCCCCCCCCCCCCCCTTGAGATTACCCCCCTTTCGCATTGCATTTTGCATGTGATTCTGCCCCAGCAGCCCGCCCTAATCTGCGTGCGAATCATCCCGGGGGAACCCGCGCCGACGCACCCAGCCGCCTTCCGCAAACAAAAAAAACACGCATGCGCGCGCTCGTTTATCATCAATCATCAGTTTTCAATTATCTTCTGCATAACAAGAGACGCAGTGCACGCGCGCCCGTCGTCGCGCGCGCATGCCCCAATCCGCCGACCAACCAAGGTCCCGTTGGGGCGTCGAAATCGAGTGTCCAGTACTCATACATATATGTTAAACAAGGAGTCCCAGAAAAAAACGGCGCTCGCGCTCTTACGATTTTTTTGGGAAACCCAGAAAGAAATCATAGTATGCTACCTACCAAACGGGCTTCGCGCGCGCGCACTTCGCATTCGTTCGAACGCCCTCGCGCGCGCGTTGTCGCAAGAATCTTTGCGCGACGAACGGGGCGGAGCGCGCGCGCGCGTCATTGGGCGCGAGAACCAAAGTCGGTCAACAACCAAGGATATCAAGACC